GTCAGGGGGGGTGTCAGTGGGGTTTTGGTTTGGTGGGGACGGAGGTCTTCGTGAGGGGTTTTGATCCCACATGTTTTGGGTCGGGAGGTGTCATTTGGGAAACTTTCATCAGAAAAAGTGTGGTCAGGGCCAAAAACAGGGGGGGCCCCCTCCACACCCCCCCCCCGGGAAATTTCTGGAAGCTGCCTGGGACTCCGTCTGGCCGGGTGTACAAGGGGAAAAAATGCGTTGCACCTGATTCCGGGATTAGTGAAAATCTGACAACCCCAAACCCGGCTGGGGGGAAAAGGGGAAACCCATTTTATAAAATTGGAGAGAAACCCCAAACATTGTTCCTCCCGCGATTGCCCCCCCCCCCCCCGGTTTGGGATTACGGGAGGAGGAGGAGTAACCCGGGTTTAAATTTCTGTGGCTTTGTGTGCCGGACAATCTGTGTGTGGGTCTGAGACTGTACCCTCAGGGTGGGCCGCCGCCGCTGAGGGTGGGAGCAGTCAGGTGTTGGGTTACACACTGACAGGTCACCTACCTTCCACCTGCCACCCCACCCTGCCTGCCTACTGGTCCTGTGCTGGGGGCCTCTATCGGGGGTGGTATGGGATCAGGAGGATATATGGGTGCACCTATATAGTGTGTATATATACATGTACGGGGTCACCCAACCGTATACACTGTAGGGGTCCACCCATCCTATAGAGAGTACGGCGGTCACCATTCCTATAGAAGAGTACGAGGTCACATCCTATAGCCAGTAGGGGTCACCATCCTATAGAAGAGTACGATGGTTCACCATCCTATAGACAGTACGGAGGTCACCATCTATAGACAGTAAACGGGGTCACCATCCCTATAGACAGTATGGGGTCACCATCCTATAGGAACAAAAAGTACGGTGGACTTCCCGACCATCCTATAGAGAGTTACGAGGTCACCATCCTAATATACAGTACGTGGGTCACCATCCATCCTATAGACTGTACGGGGTCACCATTCCTATAGACTGTATGGGGTCACCATCCTATAGTCTGTATGGTGGTCACCATTCCCTGATAGAGAGTACGGGGTCACCATCCTAAGACTGTTATCGGTCACCATCCTATAGACTCGTACGGGGTCCACCATCCTATAACAGTACGGTCACCATCCTATAACAAAGTACGGTCACCATCCTAATACAGTACGGGGTCACCATCCTATAGACCCTTTCGGGGCCCATCCTATAAAAGATACGGGTCACCCTCCTATAAAGTACGGGTTTACCATCCCATAAAGGACGGGGTCACCAAACCCCATAAAAATACGGGGCACCAACCTATAGAAAGTACGGGGGCCCCCCATCCTATAGACATAGGGGGTCCCCCATCCTATAGAGAGTACGGGGTCCCCATCCAAATAGACAGTACGGGGTCCCCATCCTGTTACTGACGGGAAAACAGGGGGATGTTTTGGTTTTTACACAGGTGACCTTTTGGTGGGACACGGTTTTTGGGGTTTGTCATGGATAAACAGGTGACCTATGGCGGACACAGGTGAGGTCGGGCGGACACAGGGGGTTTGTCAGGGCGTACCAGGTTATGTCTTTGGCTTTACACAGGTGACCTATGGGGGTACCGGGTTATGTAAATGGCGTACACAGGTTATGTCTGGCGTAACGGGGTGACCTATGGGGGGACACGGGCGATGTCATGGGTACACGGGTTTTAAGTCATGGCAAAAAACAGGTGACCAAAGGGCGGACACAGGTGATTCATGGCGGACACGGGGCTTGTCAGGGCGAAACACAGGTTTAAAGTCATGGCGTACACAGTGCCCTATGGGTACCAGTTAGCCCATGGAAAACAGGTGCCCTAGGGGGGTACACAGGCGAGGGTCATGGGTACACGGGGTAAACCAATGGTGGACAAAGGCACGCCCATGGCGTACACAGGTGGGGGACCCGGGGAAGGAGTTGGCATGTTGTCCATTTCCATGTTCGTTGTATGGAATATTCGATGATAAAAAAGGGGCGACTAAACCCCCGTTTTTGGGGCGATTTGCGGGGAAGGGAATCGCTTTCTAATTGATTCTTACACTGAGAAAACAACTTTTGGAGAGCCGACATGGAGGATAGGTTTCCCCCAGTAGGAGGGGGGAAAGAGGGAGGGGAGGGGGGGGGAGGGGGGGGAGAGAGGAGGGGGAGAGGTGAAGGAGGGGGGGAGAGGAGGGGGAGAGGGGGGAGGGGAGGAAGGGAGGGAGGGGGGGGAGAGAGGAGGGAGAGAGGGGAAAGGGAGGGAGAGAGAGGAGAGAGGAGGGGAAAGAGGAGGGAGGGGAAAGAGAGGGGGGGAAGGGAGAGAGGGGGAGGGGGGGGGGGAGAGGAAAAGAGGGGGGAGAGAGGGGGGAAAAGAGGAGAGAGGAGGGAGAAAAGGGGGGAGAGAGGGGGAGAGGAGGGAAAAAGGGGGGGGGGAGAGGGGAGAGGGAGGGGAGAGAGGGGGGGAGAGAGGAGAGAGGAGGGAAAGGGGGGAGAGGGGAAAGGGGGGGGAGGAAAAGAGGGGGGAGGAGAGGGAGAGGAGAGAGGGAGAGGAGAGAGGAGGGAAAAGGGGGGGGGGAGAGAGGAAGAGGGGGGAGGGAGAGAGGGGGGGAAGGGGAGAGGGGGGGAGAGGGGGGGGGAGAGAGGGGGGGAGAGGAAAGGGGGGAGGGGAGGGGGAGGGGGGGGGGGGGGGGGGGGGGAGAGCGGGGGGGGATGGGAGGGAGGGGAGGGGGGGGGGAGGGGGGGTTGGGAATGAGAGGTAGTGAAAGTTTGTGGGGTTTTGGGGGGGGCGAGAGGTGGGCATGGGGGGTGTGGGAGTGGGGGGGGGGGGGGTGGGGAGGGAGGAAAGGGGGGGGGGGTGGCCGTGGTTAAGTATTGGGGAGGGGAGGGGGGGGAGGGTGGGGGGGGGGGGGAGGGGGATGGGGGAGTGGGTGGTAGGGTGGAGGGGAGGGGGGGGGGGGGTGAGGGTGGAGGGGGGGGGGGAGGGGGGCATGTGAGTAGGGGTCGGGAGGGGAGATGGAGGGGAGGGGAGGGGGAGGGGGGAGGATGGGAGCGGGTATGGGGGGATGGGAGGCTGGAGGGGGGTGGGGGGATAGTAAGGCATTTCAATTATTTGGGGGGGAGGGGGGGGGAGGGTGAGGCGAAGGGGGGCGGGGTAGGAAGGAGGGAGGAGGAGGGGTGGAGAGGAGTGAGGGAGGTGGGGGAGTAAGAGGGGGGAGGGTGTGGGGTGTGGGGTGGGGCGGTGTGGGGGGAAGGGGGGGGCGGGGGGGGTGGGGAGAGGGGGGGGTGGGCGAAGGGTTGGGGGGGGGGGGGCGGGCGAGGGGGGGGGGGGAGGGTTTGGCGTGGGGTGATTGGTGAAGGGAGTAGAAGGGGGGTCGGGGAGGAGGGAGGGGAAAGTTGGGGGTGAGGGGGAGAGGGGTGAGGGTGTGGGAAGGAGGGTGGGGGGGGGGGGAGTGGTGGGGGGGGGGGGGGGGTGTGGGGGGTGGGGGGGGGGGGGAGGGGGGGGGGGTGGGGGGGTTGGGGGGGGGGGGGGGGGGTTTTTTGGGGTTTTGGGGGGGGGGGGGTTTTGGGGGGGGAAATGGGGGGGAGTGGGGTTTAAGTGGCCTATCCCAACCGACCCCTTTTAAAACCCCGTTCGGGGTTTGTCCCCGGCGGCCCGCCCCCCCTGCACCCAACCCGGAAAAGGGAACGGAAATTGCTGCACCGCCGAAACCTCCGAGCCCCCGTAAAACCTGCACCAAAAGCAGCCCCGCACGCCCCCCCAAGCCCCCCCGGTTTACCCCCCCCTTTTTTGCACGCCCCCCCGGGGCCGAAGACTGGCTGGTAAGGATTATGTGAGCGGGCCAGGAGCTGTTTCGGTGTGATGGGCGATTGGATCAGTTATTTTTTGTGGGAGGAGCAGATCGATCGGGCTTCCACTGGGATGGGCAGAATCGATCGATTTTTCGGTGGGAGGGGCAGATTCGATTCGGAGTTTTCAGTGGCGATGAGGGACAGATTGATCGTTTTCGGTCGGTGGGAGGGGGCAGATCGATCGGTTTTTCAAGTGGAGAGGGCAGATAGATCGTTTTCGGTGGGATGGGCACAGATTCAATCGGTTTTCCCGTGTGGAGGGGGTTGATGGATCGGTTTTGGTGGGAGGGGCAGATGGATCCTTTTTTTTGTGGGAGGAGCAGAATCAATCAGTTTTTGGTGTGGGGAGGAGGCAGATCGATCAGGTTTTGTGGTGGGGAGGGCCAGTATCTGATTGGTGTTTTGGTGGTGAGGAGCAGATCAATCAGTTTTTGGTGGGAGGAGCAGATCGAATCAGTTTTCTGGTGGGTGGAGGAGCAGATCGATCAGTTTTTTGGGTGGGATTGGGCAGATCGGTTTTTTTGGTGGGAGGACGCAGATCGAATCCGTTTTTTGGTGGGAAGGGTTGTAGATCGGTGTGGAACTTTCAGAAGTAGCGCATGTTCACGTTTTTACAACCAGCGGCCAATAATTTTGCGAGACGGTTGGAGGACATGCAGATTGGCGGTCGCCCGGGGACAGCCAATACGGATTCCTCCCCACTCCCCACATATATTCGAATATCTGATTGGGCCTGCTGTGGGTGGGACACTTCCGTCTTTATGAGGCGAATTTTAGAGCGGGGAGACTCAGGCCCGCAGCGGGAAGCTTTCCTGTCCTGAGGAGTGAGGGGAGGACTCTTAACTAGCTGATTGGCTTGTCAGTGCTGTCATCTCAGTGAAAGGCAGTCTCCTCCCATCAGCTCTGATCTGTTCCAATGATCCATCTCCAGTTGCCGGCCATTAGGATGTAAGTCCTCGCCCAAATTGCGGTCCTGTGATTGGTCTATAGACAGGAGAGGGGGGAGGAGACAGGAAGGATGCGAATATTTTGGCCGCTGTGTGGCTCCGCCCACTTCCTGTAAATTAAACTTGGCCCTATTTTATCTTCAACGGCTTGTTACATTTCAAGACATCATCTTGGGAAGCTCGCTACGGCTCTCAGCAAGCACCGCAAACAGCGATTGGAGTCGCACCGCGTTTCAGCACGGGCAGACAGCTGGGAGGCGGCTAGAGAAGACTTTCAGAAGACGCATACAGCCAGACGTGGGTGTAGATGAGGGAGCGGCGTCTGGCAATGTGCACTAACCTCATCCCGGAAGGCCAGAGTGCAGGTAATACCTCAGGGGGAGAGGCCAGAGTACAGGGGACCTACCTCAGGGGTGGGGTCATGGGATGAGCCGGAGTACAGGGGGACCTACCTCAGGGGTGGGTCAATGGCCCCGAAGGCCGGAGTACAGGGACCTACCTCAGGGGTGGGGTCATGGGAGGCCGGAGTACAGGGACCTAACTCAGGGGTGGGGTTCATGGGGGCCAGGCCAGAGTACAGGGACCTACCTCAGGGGGGGAGTCATGGAGAGGCCAGAGTACAGGGACCTACCTCCCATGGGAGGCCAGAATATAGATACCTACCTCAGGGGTGGGGTCATGGGAGGCCAGAGTACAAGTACATACCTCAGGGGTGGGTTCATGGGAGGCCAGAGTACTGGGACCTACCTCAGGGGGAGGCCAGAGTACAGGAACCTACCTCAGGGGGAGGCCAGAGTACAGGGACCTGCCTCAGGGGTGGGGTCATGGAAGGCCCAGGTGCATGTACTACCTGAGGGGGGAGGTCATGATAGGTTACAGTCCAGGTATCTACAATAGAGATGTGGTCATGGGAAGCTAGTGTACTGGAACCTTGCTCAGGGGTGGGGTCATAGGAATCCCAGGTACAGGTATGTACATTAGGGGTGGGGTCATATGAGGCCAGACTACAGGTATCTACCTCAGGGGTTGGGTCCTGGGAGGCAGAGTAGAGGTACCTACTTTAGGGGTGGTGTAATGGGAGGCCAGAGTACAGGTATCTACCTCGGGTGGGGGTTAAGGAAGCCAGAATACAGATACCTCCCTCAGGGGTGGAGTCATGGCAGGCCAGAGTACAGGGACCTAACTCAAGGGGTGGGGTCATAGGGGACAGGAATACAGATACCTACCTCAGGGATGTAGTCATGGAAGGCCAGAGTACAAGTATCTACCTCAGGGGTGGGATCATATGAGGCCAGAATACAAATACCTACTTCAGGGGTGGAGTCATGGGAGGCCAGAATACAAGTACGTTCTTCAGGGGTGGAGTCATGGGAGGCCAGAATACAAGTACGTTCTTCAGGGGTGGAGTCATGGGAGGCCAGAATACAAGTACCGTTCTTCAGGGGTGGGGGTCATGGGAGGCCAGAATACAAGTACGTTCTTCAGGGGTGGGGTCGGGGTCATGGGTTGATACGATGATGCAAGCTCCTCATAGGCGGTGCTTCACTTCCAGGTTTGGTTTAAGAACCGAAGAGCCAAGTTCCGCAAGAAGCAGCGAAGTCTCCAGAAAGAACAACTTCAGAAACACAAGGACTCCGAGGTCAGTGACAGCAAGACAGACCCCGCCCCCGCAGAGCCGACGACTCCCAGCCACGACTCCACCAAACCACACACCTCTGTGACCGAGCCAGCGCGGAGCTGAACCTCACCTTGTCAGAGCAATCGGCCAGCGAATCAGCAGCTTCTGAGGATCAGACCGACAAGGAGGAGGAGCCCAAATGTCCGCAGAAGACACCAAGGAGGAGAAACCTCTGACCTCCGACTCCAAAATCCCCAACTATAAGAGAGCAAGTCCCAAAACAGGTCAGCCGGAGCTCCGTGTGGGGCCCCACGGTACACAGGGAAGCCTGATGGGGCCACTTGATGTATGTGGAGGCTTTCATTTACCACCCTGACAGGGGGCGCCATATTAGACTGACTGATTGCATACCGGGTCACATGGGGGTTCCATCTGGATGGATATGGAGATGAATCTGTAAATATGAAGAATGATGTGTCTCCACCCCCAACTCACATCTGGGGCCCCTCATTCCCCCCCCCCCCCCTCCCAGGGTCCATGCTGGGTACTGGCAGGTCACAGAGTGAGTGGGTGGGGACTGATCTGTGGGCGGAGACTTGATGGATTGTTACACTGGCAGGTCACAGAGAGGGTGGGGACTGATCTGTGGGAGGAGACTGTGATGGATTGTAACACTGGCAGGTCACAGAGTGAGTGGGTGGGGACTGATCTGTGGGGCGCCAGGAGACTGTGATGGATTGTTACACTGGCAGGTCACAGAGAGGGTGGGGACTGATCTGTGGGAGGAGACTGTGATGGATTGTTACACTGGCAGGTCACAGAGTGAGTGGGTGGGGACTGATCTGTGGGCGGAGACTGTGATGGATTGTTACACTGGCAGGTCACAGAGTGAGTGGGTGGGGACTGACTGAGGGAGGAGACTGTGATGGATTGTTACACTGGCAGGTCACAGAGAGGGGTGGGGACTGATCTGTGGGAGGAGACTGTGATGGAATTGTTGTTACACTGGCAGGTCACAGAGTGAGTGGGGTGGGGACTGATCTGTGGGAGGAGAGTGTGATGGATTGTTACACTGGCAGGTCACAGAGAGGGTGGGGGACTGATCTGTGGGCGGAGACTGTGATGGATTGTTACACTGGCAGGTCACAGAGTGAGTGGGTGGGGACTGATCTGTGGGAGGAGACTGTGATGGATTTAATACACTGGCAGGTCACAGAGAGGGTGGGGACTGATCTGTGGGCGGAGACTGTGATGAATTGTTACACTGGCAGGTCACAGAGTGAGTGGGTTTGGACTGATCTGTGGGCGGAGACTGTGATGGATTGTTACACTGGCAGGTCACAGAGTGAGTGGGTGGGGACTGACTGAGGGAGGAGACTGTGATGGATTGTTACACTGGCAGGTCACAGAGAGGGGTGGGGACTGATCTGTGGGAGGAGACTGTGATGGATTGTCACACTGGCAGGTCACAGAGTGAGTGGGTGGGGACTGATCTGTGGGAGGAGAGTGTGATGGATTGTTACACTGGCAGGTCACAGAGAGGGTGGGGACTGATCTGTGGGCGGAGACTGTGATGGATTGTTACACTGGCAGGTCACAGAGTGAGTGGGTGGGGACTGATCTTTGGGAGGAGACTGTGATGGATTGTTACACTGGCAGGTCACAGAGAGGGTGGGGACTGATCTGTGGGAGGAGACTGTGATGGATTGTTACACTGGCAGGTCACAGAGTGAGTGGGTGGGGACTGATCTGTGGGAGGAGTCTGAGATGGATTTTCACACTGGCAGGTCACAGAGTGAGTGGGTGGGGACTGATCTGTGGGCGGAGACTGTGATGGATTGTTACACTGGCAGGTCACAGAGTGAGTGGGTGGGGACTGATCTGTGGGCGGAGACTGTGATGGATTGTTACACTGGCAGGTCACAGAGTGAGTGGGGACTGATCTGTGGGAGGAGACTGTGATGGATTGTTACACTGGCAGGTCACAGAGAGGGCAGGGACTGATCTGTGGGAGGAGACTGTGATGGATTGTTACACTGGCAGGTCACAGAGTGAGTGGGTGGGGACTGATCTGTGGGAGGAGTCTGAGATGGATTTTCACACTGGCAGGTCACAGAGTGAGTGGGTTTGGACTGATCTGTGGGAGGAGACTGTGATGGATTGTTGCACTGGCAGGTCACAGAGTGAGTGGGTGGGGACTGAACTGAGGGAGGAGACTGTGATGGATTGTTACACTGGCAGGTCACAGAGAGGGGTGGGGACTGATCTGTGGGAGGAGACTGTGATGGATTTTCACACTGGCAGGTCACAGAGTGAGTGGGGGGGGGGGACTGATCTGTGAGAGGAGTCTGAGATGGATTTTCACACTGCAGGTCACAGAGTGAAGTGGGTGGGGACTGATCTGTGGGATGAGACTGTGATGGATTGCTACACTGGCAGGTCACAGAGTGAGGGGGGGGACTGATCTGTGGGAGGAGACTGTGATGGATTGTTACACTGGCAGGTCACAGAGTGAGTGGGTGGGGACTGATCTGTAGGAGGAGGCTGTGATGGATTGTTACACTGGCAGGTCACAGAGTGAGTGGGTGGGGACTGATCTGTGGGAGGAGACTTTGATGGATTTTCACACTGGCAGGTCACAGAGTGAGTGGGTGGGGACTGATCTGTGGGAGGAGACTGTGATGGATTGTTACACTTGCAGATCACAGAGGAAGAGGGTGGGGACTGATCTGTGGGAGGAGACTGTGATGGATTGTCACAATGGCAGGTCACAGAGTGAGTGGGGTGGGGACATCTGGATCATACAGGTTGCAGCAGACAGCCGGGTTTTACATCTTTGAGCCGGCATTTCAGTCCAGGAAGTCAATGTGACCCTGGATGATGCCTGAACAAAGATGGTGCCGTCCTGAAGAGAAAAGCAGATGGGGCCATTTTCATGGATATTGCTGGTCGGGGAGGTTTAGAATGATTCATGTGGAAGAAGGAAGCGGAAGGTTTATAGGAAATGGGCCCTTGGTATGCAGTTGGTTTGGCTGTCCTTGGCCCTCACAGAATGTTTGTTGTGTCACCTTCATCCTGCGATCTCTAAATTCCGTCTTGTTTGTGTTGCAGAGTCTCCGGTCAGCTCCTCGATGGCGGCCTCCTCCAGCAGCGGCCTCCCTCCGACTCACTCGTACTCCTCGTCTCCTCTCAGCCTCTTCCGCCTGCAGGAACAGTTCCGCCAGCACATGGCCGCCACCAATAACTTGGTCCATTACTCTTCCTTCGACATGGCCAGTCCTCCCACCATGCCCTACCTAGGGATGAATGTCAGCATGGCGCCTCTCAGCTCTCTGCACTGCCAGTCCTACTACCAGTCCTTGTCTCATGCCCAGCAGGTCTGGTCCTCCCCCATCCTGCAGAGCTCTGGGGCCCTTCCCAACCTCAACAGCAAGACCACCAGTATTGAGAACTTGAGGCTGAGAGCCAAGCAGCACGCGGCCTCGCTGGGCCTGGACACCTTACCCAACTGA